GCAGCTCTACGTGGGAGAATTTGGAAAGTTCTATTTTTAAAAGCATGATTGCCCTTACTTAAGCAAAGGACCTGGATCCCCATTAATTGGTGCCAATATTTAGTTTGCCTTATAGTTCATGTGGTATTGTTTTCTTAAATTATTTTTGCTATTGATAGAAAAGAGTTTCCTTGACCAATGCAAGAAAAAAAAGGGGGTGTGGGGGAATCTATATTTAGAATCAGTATTCACTCTTTGTGTCTCTGCCTAGAACCCTGCTGCCCACCCAGTTTCTAGAGTCTTCTTGCTACCTTGTTTCTGAATCTACTATTTTCTGTTATGGTATATACTATGCAATTTAAAATATAGCTGCCTCTATAAAATCACTTAACTAAGCTGTTTCCCATATTCCATTAGAGGAAATAAATTCAGGTTGTTCAGATTATAGGAGGCAATTAGAATAAAGTGCAAGCTCTTTTGGAGCATGGTATTTATTCTTCATCACTGCTGTCGAAAGGAGTTTTTGGATACGTATGATAAGCATGGCACTGTTTTCGGTGTTATGCTTTTTTTTTTTCTGGGTCTACTCAGCTCTGTGACTCTATAATTCTATATTTTGCACTTTTCTAGTATTTTGTCATTAGAATAAATTCAGGGCTTTTTAGATTTGACCACTGACCTAGGACTAAAGTTGTACAAGATATAAGTATTATGGTCAATTTCTGCTCTTTTTGGAGGAAAACTCTTGTAATACCTTCCTTTAGAGCATTAGAGTATTTTAGCATCAAAACAAGGAAACAAAACCTAACTGTAATTACACAGTTTACGTATTTCTTAACTCCCCTGATCACTGCCTTGGAATCTTCCAGATGTTCTATGGGTTAATACTTTTGTTCAGTTTAATTACATTGAATTATTTTCTGAAACTAAAAGGGGTTGTTTATTGAATTCTCCAGAGTCGCCTTCTTTTGTTGACTGCTGGAAATTTTAAATTAAAATCATTATTCTTCATAATTCCCATACTTACAGAGTTTAGCATTGTCTCTATCTTCCCCTGGGCTGAACTAAAGAGCATAACTTTTTGTTGTATAGTACATTTTGTCCAAGATTACTTTTCTTAAAACAAGACAGTTCCTTTTTCTTCAGGTCATTGAGAAGCAGGCTTAAATATATTTGTCAAAGCTTTGCCTGTATTTTTTAATTGCTTTCTTTAAAGCTGACCTGTATCAGAAAGATCTCCNTATAGTACATTTTGTCCAAGATTACTTTTCTTAAAACAAGACAGTTCCTTTTTCTTCAGGTCATTGAGAAGCAGGCTTAAATATATTTGTCAAAGCTTTGCCTGTATTTTTTAATTGCTTTCTTTAAAGCTGACCTGTATCAGAAAGATCTCCTTTCTACCTAAGGAGCTTTGTCAGTCTTTCGACGTGGTAATATCTTAATCCTAGTTTGTTATACAAACTTGGTTTTTAAAAATATTTCTTTTCTTTCAGAAAAAAATGCAATAGCCTTTTAAAAATTCAACTTCTACCTTTGTGATCAGAAAAAGGAAATTTAATTTCTAGCTTTTGCAATTTCTACTTCTCATCAATAAATATTTTTGCTGTCAAATAGGAACCCTATTTGTCTCATTGCCTGAATGCCAGTCTCTTTCCATCTAAACCATTTGCATTTATCTTAGCCACGTGGACTGCCTTTCCTCCTCTACACTGCCTTTGCTTACAAATATAGTTTGACATTTTCTTCTATAACCTTTGAGGATTTACTTAATGTTTAGTGTCTTGTAGAAAATATCTCACATTCTTTCTTTTCTTTTATCTACCTGGGGTGGAGGTTGGACTGCTTTCATTATTTCCCTGCTAGTACTCATTATGATAGCTAGGTGACACAGCCTGGGAATCTAACTGAGTAATGTTTTGAAGGCTTTCAGTGTTGGTATCGTTTACAGTTTGCAGTTTCAATTCTGCAAAGAGTGAAAGAGACAGGTGGTCAGAAATGTAGAAGTTAATCTGGAAGAGACTATTATGTCATAATAAAACAAACAAAATAGGGTTTAACAAAAATGGTAGTGAACCACAGAGTCAAATGCTGAAGAAAGTTTTGGTAGTTATGAGTCATTGGCACATAAAGCAATTTTAGTACAGTGTAGTACATATTATTCTTTTGGGAAAGTTAGAAGGAGCAGTAATTGGAGAGGCCAGACTACTTTTCAGGATGGGTAGTTTCACTGATGGTGTTTGGATAGCCTCCACCTGACCATATTTTGAAAGAGATGAGAAAGAGTCAGTAGAAGCTGCTTGTGTACCAAAAAAAAA